AGATGTCGAATAAGAAATGCCATCATCGTCTATATGGAACGCCGCAAGGTTAGAAGGTACGACCTGGTCGCACATCTCAAAATCATGTTCTACAGTGATCCAATCAGCAAGAACTACCGTTGAAAAATTTATAAGAATGTAATATAATAAACCTTTCTTCATAGTAAAAATAATTTTGAAATAATTTTTTTCACTTGTCGAAAATTCGAAGACCTTATATATACTGTTTATAACCCGGAAAAAATTACAAGATAGGGAGACCACATGCCTTTAAACCATTTCGGTATCCAATCATTTCATTCAACAATTAAGAAAATGTTGTCAAACTCCTTTAATTTTACGATTTTCATATCGAAATTCTCCATTTTTTTTTTTTAAGTTTTAATTGTATCAGTTTTTTTCATTCATCATTTAAAAAATCAAAATAACGATTTTCATATCGAAATTCTTCATTTGGTTTTTTTTTTTATTATGTTTAATTGTAACTATCGATCTCGGATGTCGATCTTGTCCGAAACATTACTTCATTTATTTAATCAAATACAATTCATATTGATCACCCAATGAATTCTGCGTTGCTGGTCACGTAAGTTTCACAAAAATTGAACATAAATTAAATATTGATTTTTATTATAAGTCCTGTTATGCTTTGGACTAGAACGGTTACCGTTCCCTAGTTTATATATACTGTATGGGGTATTATACAGAACGGTTAGCAATGTAGGTAAGACGAATAGGAGTAGAGTTAGTATTAATGCTAGTAGATTAGGGTTAGTTGAGTATGAAAAAAATGTAACTTAAACATCATATCACGTGATATACTACTAAACTCCTATTCGTATCACCTAGCAATGTCCATACCATACATTGCTTGCTAACCGTACTGTACAGGTTTGCTATATTCTCTCGAAATCCAGTCTAGGAGACGTCCCTAAAGAAAAAAAAGAAAGGAACGAAACCGATCGGGATAAAATAATGAAATGCCAACCTTAATTACAGTTTTGTTTATATAACCGTTTAAATAATTCTGACTAGCATAACAGATTACATGATATAATTCTCTGTGACATGTCATTGAGATCATAACAGCCCTAGCGTCGCCAACAAAAAACAATAGCCGGATTTTATTTGCCGGGTCACATATACTTATTAGGGTGACAAATAATTGTGACAATTAGCATTTTTCTCTCAAAATAATTTCTCTGTCCCCAGAATACTTAGTAAATTGAAGAACGGTCGGGATGTGACGCGATGTGACAAATTTGCTAACCCCCTTAAACTAATTCTAATTTTACCCTAATCCTAATCCTAATCCAAACCCTAGATCTAATACTAACCCTAATAACAAATACCCGACAAATAAAATCCGGCTACCATTTTTTGGTGGCGACGCTATGTAAGTCTTGAGATCATTCGTGTCATTTCATGTCACTTTCCAACACTGACATAAGGTGATATAAAATACGATTGGTTTTTTTGTTTGAATCAATATCAAAGAGAAAGTCGTCACACAAAAAGAAATACATCAGCAATTAAAAAATAAATTAAATCGGTATTAGATCCACATTACAAAATCACATTATTTGATAATAATGACTTAGTTTGGAACTGGAGTCTAGACCGGAATTTGATAAAAAATAATCCCAATGATTTTTTTTTTTAAACCAGGACCGAAATCGAATGAAAATTCGTGTTACATAAAAAATATTTTTCGAGTAATCACATGATTTTTAATAATTATAAGCCCCCGTAATGATGTTTTTCTAATAATATTATTAGTGGGTGAGAATATGTTGTTTTCTTCTAAAAAAAATACAAATGACGATTCGTGAAAAAAAAATGGATACTGAAATTATTAATATTATCGATAGTGGAAGAAAATTCAAGGCCATTTATCCCTTGCAATATTGATAATTTAATATAAAATTCTGTTAACTGAAGAGACATCCATAGATTATTCCCCCGTATGAAAATTCATTGATGATTCTTGTACTACACCGTGCGGTTATGCACAGCTCTTTCAAATAAAATTTATTTATTTATTTATTTTTATTTTTGATTTTTATTTTTGATATTTTTTTTTTTTTCATTTACATTCAAAATGATAAAATTTCTATTCTTAAAAAAATGGTTCGTAAACAAACAGCTAAAACAAAAAAAAGTTGTTGAAAATCCCAAAACACCAACTACACCAGAACCTATAAGTGATAACAACGATATTTCAACATCACCAACTTTTACTTCAATAGAACAAGAAAATACGATAATGTTATTTTCGTCATTTTCTTGGGATATACAAGCAACTTCCGAACTTGATGCGCAAAATATGTGAAGAGGATCATAAAATTCCGATCAATTATATATTACAAAAAAATAATGATGTACTAGATAATAAAAATAATCATAAAAGTATCTAATTCTGAAAACTCTGATTATGTTGTAGGAAAAGACAATTTTCCTTCAAAAGGATTATTTAATGAATTTGGTAAATTTATCAATCCTGATGTAAAGCTTGATAATGAAATGATTTTGGATAATCAAGAGCTAAATGATTCATTTAATCAATGTGAAAATGTGAAATTGGAGAAATTTGTTGTAAATGAGAAGGAAGATGATGATTTTGGTGTTTTGAATGTAGTGAAGGAAGTAGTTTTGATGAATTTGGTGAATTTAAGGGTGAAAACACAAATGATTTTTATAATTATCAAATAAAAAACAATCTATTTATGATGGTTTTGGTGATGCTGAAATGGAGAAAAAATTGAAAGTGTCAATGTTATTACTAAAGAAAATCATAATTTGGAAATCCAAATAAATCACCTTAGATACTTGGTTTTCGTAATATGCAGTAACTGTGAAGTGACTATATAGTAAATATATAGTTACTACCTTACTTAGTAGTAGCTTAATCACAGTTTAATAGGTACTATGCAGTTATTGCATAATAAGAAAACAAAGTTTCTGTAAAGTTCCTTAAATTTGGATCATAACATGGTAAAATATCAAATTTTCTAAAATAATAACTTTTATTTTTAAAACAGTCTATAAAAAATTTCATAGCTAGATAGATTGCTATCTTGGATAAAATTTATAATTTACGGGTATTAGATAGTCACAAAAATAAAGTAAAACCTGTGTCTATAGAAGATCTTGTATATAATTCACATGAGTAAGTCCTTTGTTGGAAAAAATTTTTTTTTTTGTCTAATATTGACTAATTCTTTTTGATATATTAGAATGATGAATGCTAACTTGACTTGGAGTTCATTTATAGAACTTTGGAGGAGTGATCAAGGATGTGTTATTGAATTTTACATGGTGTGGTTTGCAAATTTAAAAATCATTTTTGGAATCAATTAATTCTTTTCTATGATCAAGACGTTCTGGGCAGTGATTTATTTAATGATAAACTAATATTATCATCATCACTTAATCAAATTACTCACGATAATAATATACCAACGTCATTCTCATCAGTTTAACAATATGGGATGTTCAGTAGAAATCCACTTTTTAGTCAAAAATATTTTTATTGGCTCACTCTGCTGATCATGGTTATGTGAACAAAACTAGCTTAATAACCAAAATTTGTAGATTTCTTTCTTTTCTATTGACCGCCTCTCATATACTCATGATTACAAAAAAGAATGAGAGAAGAATTTAACAGAACTACCTAATAATAACACTAATAACACACAAAGACAAGATGCTTCTATTAAGTCGAATAATATTAATCAAGGTGTAGATTTGAATTGAAATTCTTGGATAACTATATCAGATCTTTCATTTTTGAAATTATTATATTCTAGATCATCTAGTGTATCTAGCATCAAAAAATCACAACGAAAATCTGAAATGCTTCTTGATGATTTTCTTGATATTAGAGCAACATCAACGACAACAACACCTACTAACAATAATTATTGAATAGATAGTTTTATAACACAAATTCATCATAATTTAACTGATTTAATTGCAAATCTTGAAACTTTATTAAAAAAAATCCTTTGACAAGTATCGCTATAAACTTACTAGATGATTCAGTAAATAACTCGAAGAAGTTAACGAAAACATGAATGAATCCTATTAATTCCAATAATATTTATCCCCTGCAAAGAAAAAAAATACTTCATTGATCTCTTCAGATTTTGAAAATGTGGTTTCTGCTATTCTCTCGGGTAATTTAAATCAGGAGAATTTCTTGAACTTCAATGATCAATTGTTACCAAAATCATCTTCTTTTAATAATGATATGACATCATCAAGTATAAAATTATGTGATCATCCTGAAAAGGTATTATACAACACAAAAAAAAATTTGAGTTCTAAATCTTCGTCTTCAGTATTTGGTGAAAAAATTTCAGCTGATGATGCTGATTTATTTGGTTCAAGCAAACCTAATGAACAAAACAACAAGATAATAATAATTGGATTTCATCTACTGATCTTTCATTTTTATAATCCTTTACCAATTCCAAACCTTCAAATTCACACAAATTATCAGCAAGATACATTTTTTGATTTTTCAGAATTTACTAGTGTTGCCTTCAAAGTGTAATTACAGAATGGTTCAGATACATTTTTACGATTAATGTTACAACAAGTTGATAAGGAAAATACATTTTCAATAATTAATAAAATTTCTAAAGTGAAACAGGAATAAGTATCACAAAATATATTCGATTCAAATCGTATATGTCTTCAATGAATGTTAGTTTTACAACGGATTCTTCAGAATTTGATGAAATGGTATCAGCATATAATCATTGAAATTTGCAATATGATTGAATAATTGGATGACTTTCATTTTTAGAGACTTTAAAAACTTCTTCTTTCTCCATAATAATCATCTTAAATCCAAATAAATTTTTGGAAATTTAGATGAATTTATATTACCTTAATCGAATTCATAATGAACTTTGTAAATAGTATTTAATTGACAATCTGGATAAAATTGGCACCATGTGACTATATATATAATAATAAATTTTGAGGATAATTAACATATAACGAATATCGCTTTTCTGAATCTGACGTGCACAACTAATACTCATGCCAAAACACCGCTCAATTACAGTTAGTCTAGTTGATCTTAGTTCTATAGTTGAAGCATTTCACTATAGGTCATACTCTCATTACTGGTGGAAAACATCAACAGACAAAGAAAACGTTGCTTTCTTTCCCCTTCATGTTGGTCAAAAAACCAAAACCTGTCTTAATAATCATGATTTTTTTGTAACTATTATTGTTGATAATAAAAACAATACCTCTCAACCTGGGTATTTGTGCCAAAATGATGCATATATTAGTCAAATAGAAAATGATCCTTCTAAAGCTATTTCTTCAATATATGCACAAATATTTGAAAATGGAACGCGATTTTCAGGTCCCTTAGTATTAGGATGGCAAGATGAAGATATTATTTATCAACTTTTAAGGGATGTCTTATTTGTTCCAATTTCAATATTTGTTGATTCACTGAAAATATTTGTATATGGAGTAAGAATTTCTTCTCAAGAAAATTGGCTTAACGCTGGTCCTAGATATAAATCATCTTTCACATACAAATTTAATGGCAACAAACAAGCAATTTATATATCTAAAATTGAGGAAGATATATGTATTCTTGAAATTTATCAGGATAATCAAATGAAAAAAAAATTTGAAGGTGAAACGCCAATTGCTATATGGAAAAAATCAGAAATAAAAAAATACAACGGAAATCAGCTCTTTGGCCTTGAACATTCTTTTATCCAAACTCTTATTCGTTATTATAAAGCAAAATTACCCACATGTTTTCCCAAAAAATGAAATGATTATTCTATTATGAAACAACTTTATGATTACCATTTAAAATGAAGAACAATAGTCAATCTCAATTGGCACCAGTTTTTTCTTGATTGGCTTGAACAAGAAAGCCCAATTATTGAATTATATTCACAGTTACAAATTTTATATCCAAAAAATCATCAATTTAGCGATCGAGAATTAAGAGCATGACAATCTATGTTTCGAGATGTTAATACTTATAATGTAACTCCTTGATCAAATAAAGAATCAGGGGTAATTCATATTGTCGTCTAAAGTTTATATAAAATATTGACAAAATAATTTGACAAGTAATTTTTATTAGTATCAATTTTGATCTAAATCATCCCAACCTGAACAAGACTGTGCAACACTTCAACAACTTAGCGAAATGGGTTTTCTTACCAGTACTCTGACTCACATGCCCAATAAAATCAAGATTTTTTGGAATTTTTTTAGACGCGCATTAGATGACAATAAGCAAAATTGTGATAGTAAGTGTAAGGTTTATCAATCATTGCAGATGAATTTCCTTACTCAGAGTTAGAAACAAATTTGAATGTAAGTATAATAGTAATTATTTATCTAGTTATATAAGTAGTAATCAATTATTACTTTATATATATAAAAGGTTTGAAGACATACCATTTCTGAATCCCGAAAATATGCACGAATTAATAGTTATGGCGTACCTTCATTATTAAAACTAATTATTCATTATGTCAAGCTAAAAGAAGAAATGCTAAGTCAATTTGAATCATTTTTTGCAAATAAAAGCAACGTAAATATGAGCTCATATAAGACTGATAATGAAAGTGGATTACTTGTATTATATCTTCAAGATTGCAAACAGTTATTATGAAAAAAATTTCATGAGCAATATCCTGATGGTATAAAATATACGTCATTTATGACACGTTTAGAAGGAGTGCGTTTTTAATATAAAGATCTTGGAGGATTGTGTATGACATGTAATGAGTATAGTTATGTGGTATTTGCTGAAATTGAAAAACTTATTGAAATGTATATTACGAATCCAGGTGTTTGGGTAAGACTACTGTTTATTCTTTTAATATATAAAAAATTAATTCAGAATTTACTAATATATAATATTATAATAATAATAAATAGAAAGAATTAGTAAATGAATCACAAATTTTAAAACGATACCTTTGCAAAGATTTTACCAAAAAATTACAAATTGATGATATAGGTAGCGCTATTCATATTCTCTGTATGAGTTATTGTCTTCGATATGCATTTGGTGATTGTGATCAAGATCATCCAAATATCTGCCAAAGTTGTGAAGGTTTATTTGGATTTTTTGAGAAATTACAAAATAATCTAAATGTAATGCACCATCAAATACTTGAAGAATATCAAAAACAACTAATATCCTTTATGTCATATCATGCTAGAAAAACATACTTAAATGCTCAGTTAAATTCAAATCTCCTCCAACTTGATTCAAATGGTGCTTTGTTAATTATGGATTACAAAATGAGAATTCTTTCTAAAAGTGCAAGGGAAACAAAATCTGAATTTTTTGGTAAACGCGGTTGGAGTCTTCATTCGATACTTGTTTATACTAAAAATTCTGGGACATCTGATCTAAATATTTAGGCATTTGACCATTGGTCAAATGATACAAAACAGGATGCCTGGTTTACTGCATCTTCGTTACATAGTGTAATAGAAACTCTTGAAAAGAAGCCATCATGGGTTATCATAATTTCTGATAACGGTCCCACTATCATAATACTGAATTGATGATTATTTTATCATATTAGAAAGAATGGTATGGTGTTAGCATAAAAAATTGGATATTTTTGGAGGCAGGTGAGGCGAAAACAACAATAGATTCCCATCATGCACAGGTAATAAATATTTTGATATTTCAAATTTTTGATAGAATTTGCATTACATTTACTAAATTATTTTGTTTATTTGTAAGATAACTCATGTCATCAAAAGATATGTAAAACTAGGATATGATATTAATTCTGGTGAAAATATTAAGGATGCAATCAAAGATCTTGCAGGCACTCATGTAGCACATATTCAACCTAACCGTTCTCAAGGTTTGTGATTGATTTGATTCAATAAATAATCAAAATTCAGGAAAATTACATATTTTATTTATAAATAGATCACAAAAGTACATTGGATACTATACAAGGCATTACAAATTAGTCAGAATAGGCTTGGCTGAATGAAGCTGATGATACAGGATATATTTATGGAAGAGCTCTTCCTGGATTTGGATCATGGAATAAGTTCTCACCTAGTAAAATACAAAAGATCACTAAAAAACAAATTTTGATAAGCCAAACCCAACATACAGAGCCAAACAAACCTTGAACAGCGTTAAGTGCTAAAAAAAAGATATAGTTTCTATAATCATATCATCTTGAGATAAGAAATTCTTATAGTACTGATCCAATGATTGTTAGATGACGATACTGAAATCAAGAAAAATAATGAATTAGTAAGTAATTCCAATCATATGACATAGAATATTGTAAGATGATTGATAATAAAGCACTAATAAATAGAATGTTGAGATTGTTTGTCCAATCGATATACCAACAGATACTATTTCAAAATCAAAGAGGTATCACTCTTTATATGTGATTTTCTAAGCTGTAAATATATATTACCAACATGCTCAATTATTCTTCCAGTCATGTATTATTTTATAAAGGATGTGTTCTAAAAGAGAATCAAAAGATCAGAACACCAGTGAAACGAATTGTACCTGAAGTAAAAGAGCTACTTGAATGTATGTTTTATACAGGAATAGCTAACCCTAGGCAAAAGATATCAGCTAAAGAGATGCGAGATGAATTGTTACGCCGTAGACATGAAGGAGAAATTAACTTGGATGATATTCCAAATGAATCAACTATTTCCAACTGGATTACAACTTTTTCACGTAAATGGAAACAATCTATGGCTCTTAGGAATATGGAAGAAGTAGAAAATGCCTAAAAATTGCAAAAACATTATGGATTCAAAGAAAAATAAATGAATTTATTATTTCAAATTTATACAATAAATATGAAATATTTTGAACGCATTTTTACCATAATAAAAAAAATACGTGTGTTATTTCAATAAAAAGATATGCTAAAAATATATAAATAAACTTATTATCTGATAATATTTATGAAAATTACTTCAAAAGCGTAAATTGAGGATTTCAATTATAGTATAAGAAGGCCGGAATCTGACGCATATGCAAATAAAAATATTTTTTTAGTCAATAAAAAATATTTTCTTTTGATAGTATAATTTTCCTTATGTATTCATACAGTAAATTACACAAAAAAAACGTAATTTACTGGGTTTTTTTTTGTGCGTTGATATAGAATGATATTTTTGTAATAATTGTGCTACCTTAATAAATCAGAAAATTTTTGCCCCAAATTTATATAGTAAATTAGTGCTGATCTTATCTGAATCATCAATTAATATATTTAAAATAAAAAAAAAAAATAATAAATAAAAGAAAAAGAATCATTACAGACGGACTTTTCTTAAAGATCATCCCATGCATTTGCCAAAACTATGCAAAAAAAGGAACAACTGGTTCAAATTTAACCATGGAGATATTGTGATCAAAGTCTCATAAAATTTTTTGTCTCTTTAAGAAATGATTTCATAAATTCAAAGAATGAAATACCAGGGATAAGAACCAGCTGTCTTAATAAATGTTATAAGGCTATAAACTGTTAACGAAATATTTTTTCAATAAAAAAAAAATGTATAATCACATAATATCTAAAAAAAATGGTTCAAAAAAAAGAAGCATTATATTCACAAAAAAAAGGTAAATCCTTTTGTTTAAAATAAATAGATAATCAACAAAACCGTTTATCTTTTGAGTTATTACAAAGGAAAGAATAAGCTGATCCAAGTTCTTGTGTAATGATAGTTTGTGAGATCGAAACATCACTTACAATATGATTATTAAGCTTCAAATTAATTGACATCCTATTATTACCAGATTGAAGTTGTCTTGTTATATCATTACAATTATTGAACGGCCAAACCTTTTATCATAATCAGAATAATTACAATTAAACCTTCATTTTCCAGTATGAGTGATCATGTAACATTTCAGATGTTTGAGTATTTTAAAACTTCAAGTACATCTGGGCCAATCACATTCATGACGATTTCTTGCTATAGGATTCAGAATTCGTTGAGATGCAATAATAGGGATAGCGAACTATCTAAAGGATGCACAATAGAAATACTTCTGAGTATTATAGGAATACATCAGAGTAAATTAAAGTCAGTTAGAAGGATGGAATAATTCTTAAAGATGTTTGTATTGCTAATATTTGTATGTATTGATAGGTGAGAATAGGATATAAATAAATGGGTAACATCTAATCATTAATCATATTTTGATGATTAGCACGTTCATCTTGTAGATCCGTAAAAAAATAATTTGATTCAAAATTTGACGACAATAAAAATTTTGGATCAATATTGTTGTTATTGATATCTGTTGAAGTATCAATCGAAAAATTGGATAATGTTAAATTGGTTTTTTAATCTTAATAATTAGGGAAAGAAGAAAAGAGAAATTTGTTTTATCAAAATAATTTATGGTAAAAATAATGAATTTGATAGAAGAACTTACCCATTGTTGTAAATAAATTCATTGAAAGTCACTAGTAAAAATATGAATAATTAAGACATTTGATAAGAAACGTAAACAAAAGTAAGATAATTAATTAAATATATATAATTACAAAGTCAAAAAAAAATCTCAATAGGATAATGTATATAAGCAATATATATCTAAATTGCTAAATATTAGTCACGCAAGCCTAGTATTAATTTCCACAAAAATCAAAATAGGTTTCCTTTCAGGTGAAGCATTTTAATTCAAGAAAAGATTAAAGGAAAAGTAAAGAAATAATATGCAAGAAATAAAGCTTGAGGAGTAAAAGATAACAAGTACATTAGTATTAAAATAAAACAAAACAAAAGTTAAAATGGGAAGGTTCTATTATAGTGTCAACCTTCAAAGACATATCTATTTAAATGAAAATTTTCAATTCTTTAAGCATGTCCATATAAAGCTACAATCAAAGCTAAAATTATATAACTAAAGATAAAGAATATCTTATTTCAAGCTTATTTTAAATGATCAATACATTCTTTACGGTGTTATTACGTCATTAAATATTTTTAGTATAAATATATGTTATGTATAACCTATCTTGGGCTTACCTTATTAAGATTTAACGAAACATATGCCTGACTAGTGTGGTATAATGGTATTCTAAGAAGAAGATAGGATGTTTCTTATGCTAAAATATTTCGCTCTGAAATACTGTTTAAAAGTAGTTTCTGTATTAGTGAAAAAGATAGATTGTTGGAATTACTATTATTAAAGATCTGTTTGAATATCTCAGAAAATGATACTTAGCTTTGCTTGTATATTTTGATATGTACTGCAAGGTTGCATGAATGCTTAGAACAGGTTTTAGGTCTATATTTATCTTATAACCCTGCAGTTAAAGCCTATTGTGTAGGTTTATGTACAGATCGTTTTTAGCTATTACCATTTTAGGCTGTCCGTTCTTATTACTACGTATGAAAGTTTGATAATTATGTTCTATAGAATACCTGAAGTGACATAGCGTTTGTCTGTTTCATTTAGTCTAAAGGCAATATAAAGGGTTACAATACATATGACATTGTAGCTTATTAATTAATTTTATATAATACCATGTGTCATCAACTAATTCATCGCTCCTTTTTGGTAAGAATGTCATTTTGGTATAGATGCATTGATCTCTAGATTAATTGTAGAAACTAATGAGTTGATATAATGAATCACGTTCATTATCAGGCTTTTATTTTTTTTCAGTTAATTATAGGTGCATTTCTTATCTTTCCTATGCTATACACATATACACTCCATTTTGTTGCCATTTAATATCACCAATCTTCTGGAATCCTAACTCAATTTTAATACATCATTAAAATCGTTATTAAAGAATCACATAGCTATATGTGGATTTTCAACTATGTTCTGTTAACACATTTTGGATAAGATTGACTTATTTTCAGAATATCTGTCTACAAATATTACTTTGTACAATTCAGGTCAATGAAAATCTACTATACCAAAGGTGAAAAATAATAATCCTTAATGATCAATCTATTTTATCATGTCACTCAACTTACTATATCTTGCTATTCAAAACTGTTATAAATCACGTAACCCTTCTCTGTATTTCATTACTCTATCTGCTAATTATTTAATACCATTAGAGACTATTTTTTGTATATCTATAATATCTATCTGGCTATTATATATATTTTGCTTAACAAGCACTGCTTTTTCTTACAAAGCTTTCTATTTCTTCAGTGAATTTAGAGTAAAATATCTTCAACACATATGTCAAACAAATTCTCTGTCTTTATATCAGATATAATGCTTAAAATATTCTGCAGATTTAATTTCTTTATGATATTTATTCTAAGATCAGCTTGACTGTACAGTTAATTCTTATTATAACGAACTCTATATCTTAGACCTCAACTTCGCTATAAGGCAATAGTAAAGATTTTAAGAGATTTGATTGACCAATTCGCTATAACAAGAGTATTTTTATTATATTTGTTCAAAAAATTCATTATATCAAGAGTTGACTGTAGTAATTCATGTTACTATAAGCTATAAAAATTTGATTAAAATGATTTGAAAATAATGAAATAACAAAATGGAAGAAAGAGAGAGAAAGTTTAAATAATTAAAAACACTAGTTAACATAGTAACATTAACTCAATCATAAGCTTTTAACATATCCTGAAAAAGAATCCAAAGTTGTTTGCTCTTATGAGATAATTTATCATATTTAATATTATTGAGAATATGTATTGGTTCAAATGTAAAGCGAAAAGGTAATCTAGTGAAATTGTTTTCTTATAAGACAGAGCTTTTGAATAGAATATCTAACAACTATTTGTTGATTAATTTTACTATAGCTTTATAAGGGCATTCTAATAGGGTTATAAGTTAAGTATTATTTAAATTATATTCTTACAGTTTAAGCTTAAGAATAGGATATACAAATGCTAACTTCTATCAGTCAGATATATAAGATAGTTTGAGATAGACACAAGTAAAAATTCAAAAAATATATTTCATTTTAGGATCTAAATGTTTCAACATTTCATTAAAATTTTAAAGGATCAGAAGTCTTGTCATTAGATAATGTTTGAAGAAGTCTGTACTATTTTTCTTTATTTAGTAGATTCATGAAATTATCATAAATTTGAGAATTGATAGAATCTAGTAGTTTATATCATAGTTTTCAATCATCAGAAAGTGATACAAAGTAATGTTTAGTGCTTATTGTTTATTAGAAGTATCTGTTAGTTTTACATTTAACATTCTTAGCAAAGGTAAGTAGATTAAGATTATCAAGAAGTTATCAAGGCATCTAATGAGAATAATTGTTTATCTCTATCTATTAAGAATAGAATTATATATTTTAGCTTAATCATTATGAAATTATCGCAATAATGTTTTAAAGCAACTTTAATTTATTTCGATTTATGTTTGTCTTCTTTTAATTTGGTAGTAGTCAAATGGATTTTAAGTAATTCAGTAATATTTTGTCAAACTGTTATTAGGTTAGCAGTGTTAGTATTACTCAGTTATATTCAATTCAAATTATACTTTATTAAAATATCAAATACAATATTATATGCTTAAGGCCTATTTTGAGAGATAAAATTAAGTGAATGCATTTTTTCATAAATGTTGAAATTATTATATAGAAACTAATTGTTAATATAGATTCTTTAATAAATGTAATCTAAGGTCATAAGAATGTTAAGAGGAATATCATGATAGGATATGTACATTTCTTTGTCACTTTTTCAATAAATTCTTGTATAAGATCTCAAAAGAAATTGAGTGTATATTTCGAATGTAATCTATTGGAGATAAGATT